CCCCCCCAAAAAAAAACCACCCAAAAGCAAACAAAAATAAACAAGAACGAACAAACAAACAAACACACAAACAAACAAACAAATGATAATGCGCATACTTAGTGACAACGTCTACGGAACAGTCAAACATCTGTTCTTTAAATGCCCTAAGCTTCTGGATCTCTGCTGATAATTTCTTCTCGTACCCACCAAAGGAAATGCCATATTATGTTAATAAAGCAAAGAATATTTTAAAGACCTCCACCTATTCTTACATGGCAGTTGGATGAAGGGTGCACGATTAAAGCTGAGTGGAAGACTACTAGATTAACAACAACACCAACCCCACAGCCATCACCACCAACAACAACAATAACAACAGCAACGACAACAACAATAATAGTAGTGATAGCAATGATAATAATAATAATAATCGAAAAAAAATTATATAATTTCAACAACAGCAACAACAACACCAAGTCTTAAGTTAACCCGTGGCATCATACAAAAGAGTTGGGAGTCACTTAGTGGGTGGTTGGCAGGTGTTCTGGTGTCGTTTGCTCCTTCTTTCTTACTTAACATCTTAACATCTTTATCACGTCTCCTTCTTTTCTTTGTATATTATTTTCTGACAACACCTCTAATTCTCGGCACTTATATGACACCAGCTGGGCCCCCTTTCAATGAAAGGAATGATCGGTGCATTAACATCAACTGAACGTCATTGGCCTACTATATTTACAATCTACTGGAATGGAGCAAGCAATAAATCTTGAGAGATGCATAAATTTAGGTCTAGATCTATACTCTCAAAACAAAATGTGCCTCGCGAAATATCATTTCCAGCACTTCCGCTGTGAAGGACAGCTACTCAGATTTGCTTCCTTTCTCAGTGGAATAATCACAAAGGCCAAAGAAGGACGTGGAGTTTTTGTCAAATATATTTGTCTAAATTCAGGAAATGAATAACTATATCAAAAATCGGGCTCCGTCATGGGGACCTATCTATCTTTTGGCAGGTACTTGCCAACTTTCAACTCTATTGCTGTTGTGTCGTAGTTTTATGGGAAAAGTGACACCTGTGTTTCCAAATTGCCTTTTATATATATATATATATATATATATATATATATATATATATATATATATATATATATATATATAGAGAGAGAGAGAGAGAGAGAGAGCACCCCATCTCCCCTCCACTCTTCCGCTGCTCATCATCCTTCACCCCAACCAACAACCCACCCTCTTTCCCCCATCCCCTTCTACCCCTCCTCTCATCACTCCTTCCCCAACATCTCCACCCTTTCCCCAATCTCTCCTCCCATCCCTTCCTTCTCCCATTTCCACAACCCCCTCCCTCTGCTCCTCCCATTCCCAATCCCCAATCTTCACCTAAGGCTTGCTGGTACAAGAACTGAAATTTAATTTGATTCAGTAAAATGTTAAAGATAAACAAATTTGTTCATTTTTATGGGTTTTATTCATTTGCACACGCCATGCTTAAGCACACTAGGTTAATTCCAATTGAATAGTCCCAATTTTTGCGACGAAACCCTTGCACATGTTAAAAGAAGACAATTTACACAATAATACATAAGCATCTTGTCTGATTTTTATTAACCCATTCCGTACGCCCCGAGGTCATTTTGTACCCCCGGGGTTGTATTCTTCACATTTTAGAATACTTCTAGTACGCAGATCTCTTTGAAACTTTCAGCAGATCTCAAAAAGTCATTTTGACAGACTGCTATGCAAAGCGTACGGATCGGATTACCGAGTAAATGTCCTCTTTGGAAAGTGGTGGCACTGAGTTCCCACGTCGTATGGATACTATAGTAAAACACGACGTACAGACAGGTCCTATTTCTGTGCATTTAGATGTCGTTTTTAAAAATCACTGAAGGTAGGTAATTGGGTTTTGTTGACTTAATCCGGCAAGTTCAAGTGGCTGAGAGAAAAGAAAAACAGTTCGAGAGTCTGCAAGGGAGGGCACGGTTTTGCAAACACAAAGGGTCGCCTCTGCTAGATTACCTCACTATCCCTTTCGTTTTTGGGTTGAGATTGTTGACGAGATTATTGGGCCATCGATGGAGAGGCGATGAAGGCCATACTTAACTCCTAAAATCAAACACAAAAAGTAGTCTATAATGAATTATTTTAATTTGCATCTCTATAAACTAGGATTTATGAAACGCAGGGATGAGCTTTTAATTGGGCCTGGCAGTGAAGGGGTCAAAACTAAATAAATTCTACATCATTTTACACATTAATAGTTCATCTATGATAAGAATCGACCAAAATGTCAAGTCCAGATTTTGCGTGGTACATGTATATTTATGACTGCTTTGTTTTTCAAAAATATTCCTCCTCCTACTTCAACTCCACCTCCTCCTATCAGTACTCCTAATACTTTTATTCGACTCCTCCTTCTCTTCTTCCTCCTCCTCCTTTCTTTTTTTGTTTGGTAAGTGTTTTATGACGCTCGCAACTGCATAAGGTCATACGAGCGCACAGGACACATTCAACTTTTTTCTATTGGTAGGAAATTTTGAAATTCTTAAATTATGACCGCACTACTGAGTACATGTATCCATTTCCACTTTGGGTGAAGTGAAAAAAATCGTGACAAGTGTCAAGGACACAACGTCAGATTCCTGACGGGATTTGAACCCACAACCTTACGGTTTTAGTTTCATCAGGAGTTTTACGGTCCCTGCAACGCAATAAGGTCATATGCGTGCAGAAGAACTGAGGTGTTACAAGAGAGTAACATACACAAACAAGAAGGAGGGGAGATAAGGATGACAGGTGTTTGATATGAAAGAAGGAGCAAACCACACCAGAGCACCCACCAACCGCCCACAACTTTACGGTTGCAAGTCCGAGAGTCTAGCCACTAGGCCACCGACACCCCTTAATACTGGCAGTATTGTAGTTGTAAATGTTTAACGCCCCTATCAACACTGTAAGAGTCTGGATCTCCGAATTTACGTCCATTGGCGATAGGAATAGGACCCAGCCAAGAGGGTAGAGAGCTTGGAACTCCCCAAACAATCTAAGTTCACGAATGCCCCATTGAGTATTCGAACCAGTGCCATCTACACCACAGTCCAGCATGCTATAAACTTAACTAACGCGCACCCATTTACTGTCAGATAGTATTTTGATATACTGCGCACCAGGCTTTTTCCGTGTACTTTTTTCTCGTGTCTTGCCCATCTCTTTTTTTGAAAATGTTTTAAATTCACCATTCAATTTGAGTCGCCATAGGTAATGCATGCTGTCTGAAGTATTTCTAAATGTGGGCCTACACTAATATTCAGCCATTTTAAGTGCAGTTGAGCTTCAATTTTGCGGTGGACCCCCCCCCCCCCCCCACCCCGCAAGTTTAAAGAAAACGCAGTCAGTGTGT